GTACCTGACCAGACCTGTACAGTTCTTTATTTTCATTATTCGATTAGTGTAATTAACTTATAATCAAATAAGCCACTATCATTTGTCTAGTAGGTCAGGGGTTCCCAAACTTTTCCATGCCGTGCATCCACAAACAGCATTAACTTCTGGCTGGGTAACCACCTCGCAAACCCACAAACAATTACATTTGTTCATTATAGGAATTTTATTTCCCAACATGTTTTAAATGCTGTATTATATTCCTACTGAAAAAAACAACAACTTTTCAACAAATTGTTGYTGGAAAAAACAAAACAAAAGAAATAAATAAAAAACTCAATTGAGCTCTCTTAAATAACAATTTAATATATTATTATAAAATATATCTTAAAATAATGACATTTACTAGGTTTACTTTTTTGTTTTTGCATGTTGTTTTTCTTATTTTTTTTCTTATCTTCCCTCCAGCTTTATGAGGCTCCCCTAGTGCCCCTGGTGGCCCCCTGCCCCCACTTTGACAAAAACAGTATTACACATGTACTTTTTTTTCAGGACCAATACCTTATTTTGTCCATTTCTAAATTTTAAAAAGTAAAACAACTATATTTTCAATATATTATTAAAATGCTGACATTTTAGAGAATCAGAACATATTTGAAATTCACCAAGTAATCATTTCCAATCAATCTGCCTTCCGTCTTTTGAATTTGTACCACTTTTTGTTATACGGCAACTTTTCCAATTTAATAAGCTGTTTATCAGACAATCCTGATAAAAAGGTATTCCGATTTTTACTGTTTTTGTTTCTGTGAAAATTGAGTCTGTCACAAATCCACGTCGTTTTCTCGTTCTTTCACTCTGCCTACCTTCATCTTCCTCCCTCGCATCAGCCCAGCTTAAATACATTTTACTTTTATTTTTACTTGAAAAATCATATCTCGACCTTCATTTAAAGTCAGGTTTCATAGAAAGTGTTTCCCTGATTTTTTTTTTTGTTTGTTTTTGTGTATGTTTGTGTTTTTTTTTCTCTCCTGTTTATTATGCATTTATTCAGTGCTCTCACATCACACTTGCTCACTTTTAGCACTTTTGGATTTATCTCCTCCTGGGACACATTCATGAAAAGCAAATATCTGCAAACATACAGAAATCTACACAGATGGATTCAGCTGAGAGGACAAATATGCATAAACTAGTAGGATAGAAAGCTAAATTGTGGAATAACAATGAACTAAAAACTATGACTTACAAATACTTATTAAATAAAATATGAAATGTTCATAGTTATTTCTGAGTTATTTCATTTTTCATTATCTGCCTTCATTGAAAGGTTTAACTGATGCTTTTTTAATTATAACTGTCAGCACCAGATGTGACTCGCTTACATATGAGAGTAAACAACTTACAACACTGCAGCTCTGCCAAATGGATCAGTAACTGTGAAAGTACGAACCTTCACCTCTGCTGAGTAACCCTGGGTGAGCTAAAACTAAAATGTTCCTTTATGCATAAAACAGTATAACAAGAATATGGGAATTGCTTTTTGATCTTGCAATGACATAGCATAATCTCTAAAATATAACACATTGTTTTTTTCTGAAGACTACATGCAAATGCAGTCATTTATTTTGTGTGACATCAATTGATAAAAAAAGACATGTTCTCTGATGGCACGGCATTAAAAGTTTGTGTGTCTTAATTCATGTTCTAAATTTGTTCCAGACAGCAGATAAGGAGCTACAACTTTGAAACTTTAGTGARGGAGAACCCTCCGTTTAATTTTAATGTTTGCCTTGAGTCAGAAAAACTGTTTTTTTTTTTGTACCCTCATCCACTCCCTCGGTGGGTTAGCGCCCTAATACCTGTCAGTCATTTTGACGATCTGTCTCCTTTGAGATGGCTTTCAGCCAGAGGCATCTCTAAAATGAATCACAAGACGAACTGGAACAGCAGATGTGAGTGAAGAATTAAAAGCAGCGACGGTGTTAATCATGGTTCCCACCTGCCATGAAAAATTGCTGGTTTCCTTAAATGTCAACACATTTTTATGTGTTACTGCTGATGCTAGGATAACCTGCTGAAAAMGCAACAATCCAGATGTCCTTTTGACAGGCCTGTTTCTTATGGATGTTATTTAACTTACAAAAAAAAAGTAAACTTACCCAGCATGACAAAAGGAATTCCCAGATATGTAGAGTTGTAGGTGGCTCCAGTCAGGTTTAATATTCCAGCAGCAGTTAGGCCCGACAGTGTGACTGACAGCAGAGCCAACAGTCCCAACCAGGGTTTGGACCTAACACAGTCCCTCATGGAGCAGCAGAGGATGGCCAGCACCCCGCATACTCCCAAGCTGGCCAACAGGGGGCGACGTGCCAGCACAGAGGAAAACTGGAAATCTGTCCTCAAGGAGGAGGATGTGGACGAGTAGAGCCCCATTTTTGGATGTGAAGTTCCAAAGTGCTTCACCTCAGCGCAGAAGGCTTTTTCCCACTGGCTCGCTACTCGATCCAATAGGCCGCTTTGGGATTGGAGGTAGTAGGTCAGCTGCACTGCCCTGGCAGATCGAACGCCCTCTACTTTGGCTCCCGTCCCCTGGATTCGTATCGCTCCACCCCAGCCCTGAACGCCGCCCAGCTGGTGGCCGATGTATGCTTTTCGACCGTCTGCCAGTTGGGTGATGGGATACCTCAGGACCGGGATGGTTTGGTTGGAGGCACGAGCCGACTGGATCTCCTCCATGGCGCGGATGATGTCATCAATGATGCAGACGTTCTTGTCATCAGGCAGACAGAGGTAGGAGAAGGAGTAGTTGAACCTGTTGAAGCCTGTGGCTGGGACCGTCACCTGCATCTGATAGATCCGTCTGTGCAACTATGAGTGGACAAAACAAGAAACAGGAGGATGTTTACACTGAGCCACAAAATAAAAAAAATTAAAAAAAGTTTCATGCGTGGGTGTCTCATTCGCTAACTTTGTGTTCAGGGAAAGTGTTTGGTGAGATGTGCGGGGGAGTTTGCGTGCGTACATCTTACTCGATAGAGTAACAATAGTTGTCTCAGCGTTCTGCCCAGTTTTTAAGGCAAGATGACAAGAGCGCCGACACCAACCCTGCTGGTTTCCAAGCAACAGCCTGATGCCAGTCTCCGGCATAGTGAACATCGACAGAGCTGACTCCCACCTCATGAGTTGCACTAACTTAGAAGAAAGGATCTGTTTCTGCAATGATGTCGCTTTTGTTTTTTTAGATACAAAGATCTAAAATTGTTTGAAATAATGTCAATCGTATTGTTATTTGTTGCAGAAATAGCTGTCAGTGATTTTCCTTGACACACTTYGTCTCTCATTTAAAAAAATAATAATAATGGTCCAAAATTTCTGATCACAGAGGATACATCTATTTTGATGCCTCTCCCACACAAATTTTGATGTAGCAGTTACAGGATACAAACTGGCAACCTTCCAATCACAGACTGGTCTTCTTTAACCTCGACCCCCCGTATAAACAAATTATGTGATGTATTTTTTAATAGTGCATATTCAAAATAAGGTAAAAGGAAACAATCTATGAACCACCAAAAGGCATACACTAATATATTCCAGTCAATGGGCATGACTCAGGGCTCCTAATGCAAATTAATATTCTGTCTAGTTCTTTTTCCTCACTAACACTGACATCACTCTCTCTGGCTTGCATGCAACAAGTCCTAAACTATTCTCAATGGGATGGTAAAAGGCTGGCAGAGAAACAATATAACACACAGAGAAGGCAGGCAGTGAGTAAGCAGAGGCATAAAAAAGAACAATTACAGAATCTTGAGTCTTGCAGATAGCATCAGATTATGTAACAGTAGATTAGACTCTAACCTATTTGCCTCTTGCAGCCTGTTAACAAGGAAATGATGCATAGCTCTGAAACAGCAGTTGTGACCTGTAGGCAATGTCTCGGTATACAAGTAGGTCACAATAATATCCATTAAGAAAGAGAGAGAGAGAAACTCAACACAAACCACATCTGTCTCAGACCTGTCAGTCAGCAAATCCTTTAGATGATGCATCCACATACAGCAAAGCTCAAAGCAGGTTGCACCTAAACTGACATTCATCCTTTTCCATACGTTCATGTCAGCATGGAGGTTTGTGTCCAGAGATGGATTCACTGAAAGCTGCAGCCTCTGTTTCTCAAAATGTTTTTTTTTTCTCCAGGCAGACCTCAACAAGTCCACATAAAAAAAGGTGCAAAGTATAAATTCAGAGMCTGATCTTTTTTTTATTTTTATGTCAAGCCTAACAGTTGGCTTTGGATCTCTCTACGATATTCAGTATATGTGTTATTTTATTTCTCATTTGCATTTACTATCACAAAAAGGCAGTCAGCCATGGTCAGTTACAGAAAACACTTGAATAGGGGTATTCAACTGCTGGCCCGCGGGCCATGAAATCCATCTGGCCTGCCAATGTGTGCCCCCACATTTTTTTAATCTTTTTTTTTTTTTTTTTTTGGGGGGGGGGGGGGTTTACAWTTTTACATTTATGATACAATGAAATAAAATAAACATATTTAAAAGGTGACACAGAAGCCCTGCAAAGTTGTGTTTCACAGTTTGTGGACTCAGTATTTTGCAGATTTCTTCATGGAACCTGTTACTAGTAGTTTGCGGGTCTACTTTAAGAAGGAACTCCGGCAAAAATCAGGGCTTCACTTTTACATAATGCAGAGTTTCCTCTACCATTATTGGCCCCAACACACGCACCCCCACACACATGCTCCTCCGTTTGTTTTGAACTGTGGCCCCACACTTGACTAAGTCAATTTTAAAAATATAGCACTTAAATTTGGTGTGGCAGTAGATGAGAGTCATCCCTAACAACTGTAAACACCATACATTACATAAGGTTGGCATTAACCTTAGGAGTCAACCCTTATAGCTAAATATCAACTACTGACAGATTAAAATGAAAGTAGAAAGCCATGTACATTTATTACTAACTTTTCAGTCAACCCAAGCTAATATAACCAGAAATAATCAAACAAACAAAAACATGTTAGTTTATTTTATTTATAATGTTGTGATATCTGGGCTTAGACTTTCTACAAACTTGTTTTGAGTGTTGTTTAAACTAGGATGTGCAGTCCAAGTGTGGGGTTACCTGTAGAATATTGTCCAGGTGAGGCGGGTCCAGCACGCTCCCCTTCCGGGCTGTGATGATCACGCGCCCGTAGCGGCCCGCCGTTTGCAGGTCCGAGTAGAGCGCGTGCTTGGAGCGGTTCACCGGGAACAGGCTCTCCACCAGGTTCCCTTCGATCTTGGCCAGGCTGTGCTTGGGCGCGAGCAGGCTCTCCACGTCCTCCTCCACGCGGTACCGGCTGAAGCTGGCCCCCAGCAAGACGGACAGGAGCACGGGCGCCGAGGCAAAGAACACCGGGTGGCCGGCCACGAAGCGGCCGAGCGCGTGGAAGCACGCCCCGAGTCCCGCGTGCAACACCTGGCGCAGCATCCTAGCGCGCGGCCGCGGCTCGAGCCTCTCCCACCGACAGGAAAGCCCCGGAGCGCCGCCGAGCATCAGGGGCCGCCGTGCGCATCGGTGGGCTCCGTCTCGGTCTGCTGGGGTTCGGGGAGGGGACGTCGCCGCGTGGTGGGAGGGCTCTTCCCCCGGAGCGAGAGATCCTCAGCCGGGGAGAGTTTAACCCTCCTCCGCCAATTTACCCGGAGTTCTCTCATCCGCTGGAAACACAAAAGAAGTGGAAGAAGACCTGCGTGGTTAGGAGGCACACCGCCGGCCTGCATCACATTACAGCACCACTCGCCTTCTGCAGGCTGCGTGGCTCTACTCGTGCGCAACCGAATCACCAAGTGTCCCCATGAGCAGACTTTTTTTTTTCAACCAAAATCAGTAGTTTGTGCACGTGGTGAGCGGGCAGACTTACCTAAAGAGGGCGGCGGGGCACAGATCTGAATGAGATCAAGAAGACGCCTTTAGATGCTGACATGCCGGCGTGTTCTGCAGCTCCGCCCCGCATCACCAACTCACCACCGATGGGGTGGTCTTCTTGGTGGATGAAAGAAGGTGGGAGTCGCAGGATGGGTGAGGCGGTGAGCACGCACCGGGATGCCACGCTGAGCRTGTTTGTCACATCGACCGAATCTGGGTTGTTTTATTAATATTTTATTTTCCCKCTTTCTGCGGCAGGATCGCTTTGCCTTCCCTTCCGTCATCCCTTTGCATTGTGGGTTTGGCAGAACTATATTCAGTCACTCACAGCTTCTTTCTCCTCCTTGTTGGGCTGCCCATATACCCCCACTGCCTCTGCCCCTCCCTTTTCAGATACACAGAATCAGCCACGCAGCTTTTGTCTGATCTCTATCATTTATAAAAAATAAAAGTCCTCAATGAAGGTAAGAGTCACAGAAAACTCTGTTCTCACCCTTTTTTTTCTGTTTGGTGGCAATTTGGACACACAATGTTCAWATTCAGAGCTTTTTTTCCCGCATTTTTTGGCTGTTTTTACAGAAAAAAATACTGTCCTTCCCAATTTTTTATTTCTATGGAAACATTACCCACCCATACCCCCACTTAAAAGAAATAAAGTGCACATTGTGCACTCACACACACCTGTTGACCTCCAGTATGCTCATTGAAGTGCATAAGGAAAAAACCAAAAAGAATAGGCTGCAGCAGGAAAGATGTGGAYATACAGCATGATTAGACTCTTTTTGTCTGTGCAATGTCTTCCCCATCCTCTAAAATAGACAAAGGCTAGTTTATATTTATTTTAATCTCTCATTCTTTTTGGTTGATTGAAAAGAAATAGTATAATTGAATAGCACGTACACACGGTTCTAGTCTTTGCAATAAAAAGGTCTTAAGGGATTTAAGTTTCAAGCTTTAATTCATTAGTATGTGCACAGTTTGGCAATATGCCACCCAATACCTCAAGCTTTTTATTGTGGTTGGATAACCAATATGTGCTCATCTGATTGTTACAAGAGCTCATTGAATGTTTGTACCAAAGTTTTTTTTTTTTCAGTGCGAAAGTGATCTATTTGTTTATGCATTGGTTTTGTGTGAACAAGGACAGTTCCGTCTCTATAAGTCATGAAACTGTCATAAAATATATGAAAACAAAAGTTATGGGTTAAACATCTTTTTTTATTGTTCTTCTTCTTGTTTTTAAGCATTTTTCATCCATCCATTATGTAATTCTGGCTTCTTCTACTCAGTGTCACAGGAGTCACTGGTGCCCACATCCAGCAGTCACTCAGCAAGGAGAGGGGTACATCCTGGACAGATTGCAAGACCATCACAGTATAGTATTCCACATATGTCATTTTCACACAAAAAACATACAATTTGTTTTGTTTAATGAGGGAAAGATAATGACTGCCCTAATTATAAATCCAAAAGACAGGTTTCATGCATCATTTTATTAACTTAAGTGTTTTCTTACAATCAGTACAAATGTATTGTTTATTTGTTGTTGTTTTTAATCAGGCACAAACAAAACAATGTCCAATGATAGTGCCAGGTTTGSTTATTCCTCTTTTATTCACATGTGAAAAAGGAAATTTTTTAACTACGTTGCTGACATTTCTGATCTGTGTGACATGTATGCAGGCATACAGTCAAGATGTTGGTTCAACAATGGACATAAAATAGTGCAACTACAGTGTATCCCTTAATCCCAACTGTCTCCAGACAAAATGAGTTAAATAGAAACATAAATAAAAAATAACTGTGTTGTCAGTGGTCACTAATAGTT